GCATTAAAAATCTGCATTTCTGAGCATCTGTTGTAACAGCCAAGGAATGAATGCAGAGTATAACAGGAAGTAGACTTTGGAGAATGTCTGGACTTGGTTGCTGAGACAGCATTCACTGTGGTCCTCAACCCTTTCAACTTGGAAAGGAGACAGAACCAGAAGTTTAGGGTGAAAAAGAGTCAAACCCAGCTGGACACTCTATAAACACTTTTCTCAGAGGCAGTATTTAAATCAGAGAGACTTGTCTAGACAGCTCTTAAAAATCACGAAACAGGTAAGTTGAGGAATACTTCATATGGCTTCTGTTTGTACATTGTTTGATTATGGAAAGAGATCTTAATTAAAATAATTTATTCTACATAATTGAATAAGAACTCTACATTTTCTGAGACAAATCAATGGAATGTCTTTGTATGAAAAGGAGATAAAAACACCTGTGAAATAAGTGCATAAATATATGGATGTATCTGAAAATACCATAATTCATAAATAGAATTACCCATGTAATCCTAATAAAATGATACAAGTATAAATAAGAGGCTTTGTTCAAGAACATTTTGCAAATGATTTTTCATGGGCTTTATATTTTATCTCAATGTATTATGAAGGACAGAGGAGACACACATGTCTAATAGGTGGTGAGTCTAGACATTGTATGTGAATTGTCCTACAGTTTTCCTGTAAGTCCCACTTGTGCCCCTTGCCCACTTGTGTCTCTTGCTCTGACTGAAGTTTATGAAGGCACCTGAAGGCTCCTCTCTCACTCTGGCCTCTCTGAGTGCGCAGAAATACACAGCTGAGTCCTCCAGCTGTGTGGCTATGATGGTGAGGTTGATGGATCTGGATGGCTTCTGGAAGTTCAGGAAATAATGACCCTCTATTGCATTTTTCTTATCGTTAGAGTTCTGATGAATAAGCAAAATCAGTTCCCTGCTAGGGGACTGTTTGTACCAGATGATGAAATAAGAACTATCCTGAGTCTCCTACAAACAGTCTAGGGTCACAGCCTCTTTCTCCACCACAAAAATTGCAGGCTGAGCTTGGGTTACCTTCTGGGCCATATGGTTCCTGAATGCAAGAGGACAGAGTCAGACTGACCTTTTCTTTATAATCAAGGTGTTAGAGAGATGAAGGAGCTTAAGACTCAGAATCCCTCCTGTTGAGCCTCAGAGAACAAAGCTCCAAGACCATCACTCTCATATCTGAGAGTGTTAGCCCAGTGTTTGTGGACATCCATACCAAGACAGATAGAAGTGACAGCTGCTCCCAGCAGGCTAGAGATCAGCATAGTGGCAACTCTTCCCCTGATTGAGATGATGTTATGCCTCCAATCCAGATGTTAAGCTGTGCCCTGTGCTCACAGGATCAACAAAGATAATGTGCTCTATGATACATCACCCAACAGGAAACACAGCTAGCAGATATGGGGCAGGTTTGTCTGTGTCTGTGTCCCATCACAGGCTTCCCACACAGGGGCAGATGCTGTCCTGAGCACCTGTTGTGTCTCATAACTTCCTGTCCTGGAAGAACAAATCATGCTTAGTTCATTCTTGGCACATGGACAATGAAGGACTTACTATTTATTAACAACTCTATGAAGAGATGAAGTTGTATTATGCAACTCTTTTGGACTGATGGTACTGGGATTTGAATTCAGTGATTTGTACCTGCTAGAAATTGAATTCTACCTCCAGCTCTTTTTGCTTTTAGTTATTTTTTAGAGGTGGGGGGTCTCATGTTTTGTTTGCCTAGTCCAGCCTCACATTATGATTGTCCTTCTATGCTTCCCACATAATCTGTGAGACTGTACTGTCACACCTAGATTTGTTTACTGAGGTTGGTAGTCATTAGTGTTTTGTCCATGCTGGCTTCACACCACAATCCCCTGATCTCTACTGGTATAAGCCATAGCACCAGGCTTTCAGGGACCTTTTGATACTAAGTCTGCCTCATATTCTCTAGATAATACCAAATTGAATGATCACCACAGAATCTTACAGAGAGATTTATTTTCAATCTTTGTTACTACCTCAGCATTCATAGGGTTCAGCAAAGGTTATATGAGAAATATTGTTAATGATCATGCCTCCTGAACTCTAAAATCTGTAATTTGTGTGCCATATTTGGTAACAGCACAGAAGAAAACACCATGTATGTGCTTGAGCATGACATGTGTATGTTGGAAGTTCAGAAACTTTTACATAGTTCTTAGATCCAGGTACCTCAGTTATAACTCAACCCATGTTTTCCTGGAAGCCCTCCTGCTCCTTCAAACCATGCCCACTAACTATAGTGAATGTTAAGAGAATGAAAAGACCAAATGAGAGAACTTGCAATCAGAGCACTATCGAAGAAAATAGAAGCCTTATGAAAATACGATTATGTAGGCCAAGCTAGGAAAAAAAAAAAGACCAGTAGAACTCAAGCTCTGTTGGCATTTGTCTCTAGTACTACAATCAGTAAATGTTTGTAGTCTTCAATTAAAAATAACTTGTTTCATCCCATAAGTGTATGTTTGCAAGAGATCATATATATATATATATATGTATATATACATATATATATATATCACAAAGACAAAGTTCATCAAATTTTTGAATTATTGTACCTCATACATCAGTATTTTCAGATAATAAACAAATATGTCACTATTTTTTCTATTGAATTTATATTTTAGAGCACTTTTAGGTTCACTTCAAAAGTGAGCAATTAATCAGAAGATACTCTTTTTCCTCCAACTCCCTGCCCCTACTTGCACAGCCTCCCTCATTATCAACATCTTGTACCAGAGATGCATTTGTGATAACTGGTGGACCCACATGGACATGAAATTGTCACTTGGGGCCCATAGGTCACATTAAGATTCACTCTTGGTGCTGTTGCTTTACAAGTGTAGACATAGCTCTATGAGAAGCATACACCATTACACTATCATACAAACTAGTTATATGGTCCTGGTGTTCTGGAAGTAGGAAAGAATGATAGTTGGACATTTCCCCAAGTATTTTTATTTTGTGTTGGTTCTAAGGCTTACTTGAACTCATGGCCTTGGGCACTGTCCCTGAGCTTTTTTGGCTCAAGGTTAGTGCTCTACCATCTGAGCCATAACTCCACTTCTGGCTTTTTAAAATTTTTTTGAAAGTTTATTGTAGATAATGATCTCATGGACTTGGCTTTAAACTGCAATTCTCAAATCTCAGCCTCCTGAGTAGCTAGGATTAAAAATTACTTTTAAAGTACCTTTTAAAATAAAATTTAGCTGGATGCTGGGGGCTCATGCCTGTAATCCTAGCAACTGGGACGCTGAGATATGAGGATCATGGTTCAAAGCCAGCCTGGGAAGCAAAGTCCATGAGACTCTTATCTCCAATAAACCACCAAAAAACCCAGACGTAGGGCTGTGACTCAAGTGGTAGAGCACTAACCTCGAGTTGAAGAGCTGAGGGACAGCACCAGGCCCAGAGTTCAAACCCCATGACTGACCAAAAAAAAAAAAAAAAAGAATTTTAATTATACATTAATTGTATCTTTATAAAACCATTAGTTTAAATTGAAAGTGATTAAGATACTCTTAGAAATGCTAAAGTAACTTGCAGTGGCTAGGGGAACTACAGTGTAGGGAACCACTATCAGTAAAAACTGGGGCTAGTCCCAGACACTGTTACCATGAAGTACACCAAGCTTTTATTTCAGAGTCCCATGAAATCCCAGGCTTAGAAAATTTTCTTCCTTTTTTCTAAGTAAAACTTCAAACATTAAAGCAGGTTCACACCTTCAAAACCTGCCTTAGCATATGGAAAGCCCAGAATTACACACAGCTAAGAAAGCATGGAGACTCCCAGACCTCCACAAGGTGGAGAGATTTCCAGGTGAGCTGCACCCCTGGGACATCAGGGAGAACTGACCTTTCTCAGTTGAGAAAAACAGCAGGATTTTAACCAAATGGGGCTAGTAAACTGGAGTCTGAGGAGCATTTCCTCTCACATCTGAGTTATTCCTTTGCTGGATTTGACATACTGCAGGAGCGTCATGGGCTTAACTATAATAAGAAGAATATGTCAGATTCCACAGCTCTAATATGGTCAGAACTCAGGCCTCTCACAGCTGGGATCCTCAGGTCCCCAGTGAATTGAGTTATTCTGTTATTCTTTAGCATTACAGTAATGATCTGACAGGCTGAGAATAGGTGGGAGTGAGAGTCAGCACGTGTGAGCTAGATACGCTGCAGTTGCAGATGGCACTGACTGGGCTGCTCTGCCCCCGCAGTGGCCTGGGACATGTCTCCTCCCTATTGTCCTCAGAGATTTTAGTCAGGCAGTGGCATTTCTAGAGCAGTGGCATTTCTAGGGAGGAGAACTCAAAGGAAGAACAAATAAATGCTTTCTTTCTTAAAATCTGCAGCACTCAACAGTGCTGGGGCCGACTGTAGAAGACACAAACTAGATTTAAGGTTACACTCTAGACCATGAATGTTTTCCCTGTGCACATTAACAGTTTGGGCTCAACCAAACTGTGTGTCATATGGCAGTTATTGTCACTGTCACCTAGAGAAGAAAAGAGACACCTGGGTTGTAAACAGAGCAAAGCCTGGGAAGTAGAGCAGGCTCCTCTCTTCCCTAACACCTCTCCTGATAGCAATCCAGAAACTCCAGGGCCTTTCCAAATCTTACAACTGGAGGAGGCCTCCAGCTCAGAATCCTGGAGAGAGGAAGCAGCCCCTCCCAGGCCCAAACACACCCCTCTGGATCCAGGCTCAGTCCCTTCTCATTAAGAACAGTGAGAACAGTGGTTCACAGCTGAATCTGAGGTTGGTTCTTCAGGTGGAAGGTGCTGTCTCTCTTAGCATGACTGGCCTGGGCCATTCTGATGCCAGTCCTGGTTTGATGAACTCCTCAGAAGCAGCTCAGGCTTTTTTATTTGACAGCAGAATTAACTGCAAAGAAAAGACAGCTGGTTCAATGACTGCAATTAGAGCTAGTGCAGCCTGCCTAGAGAAGGTAACCTGCCTTTGGTCTGTGTCTCCAAGTACAGTACTCACGAGACCCTCCTGGAAACAGTAAAGGCTTTGCCATACTGGCAGTGTCAGAGTAGTCTGCAGTTCGACACATACACAAGGACAAAACATCTCTAACATTTTCAGTAATGGAAATCAACAAGATTGCCAGCTCTGACCAGGAAGCAGAGTGGCTGGTTCAGATTCACAAGGTTGTGCTTAGGATACAGAGAAGCTGGGATGGTTCTTTCAGTTGCTGGATTTGTTACTGGAGTCTTTTACACATTCTGCTCATGTATTGAGACAAAGTCATGCTGCCACTCGCTGAAAACAGCTAAGGCTGTGCTCAATCACTAAGGTGAATTTGTTTTGCTGTTCAGACAGCAACTTGGAGGGAACATGCCCTCTTCTGTTTGCAGCCTGCTCTGCATCTTCTCATGTCGACTTTACCCTGGAGCTTGAGTTGTATGCAGAGCAAGAAGAGGGCTATCTGGGGGTCCAAAGGAAATACTAAACATTTCTCAAAATCTTTTCCTGGTATATATGAGTGGGTGCTCTGGAACCAGTGCACCGCCCCTCTGCTTAGAGAGTCTCCATTCTCTCCCTTGCCCCTTAACTTGTAGTCACTCTACTCAACACTGTGTACCCCACCTCCTGATAAGAGCACTCACTGGTCTCTTATCTGAGTGCTGCGTCTTATCCCAGCACATACGTTTGTGCATCTGTCCACGTTCTTTCCATGCCATATTAAAATTATGTGTGCCCTGATTTTCAAGCTATGCTTGCTGCTCCTGAGACTGAGAAATTAATATCCTAGTTCATTTCCCAAGTATTCAGGTCCTTATCTCATAATCATTGCTAAAATATCTGAAAATCCAGGTGCCAATAGTTCATGCCTCTACTACTAGTTACTCAGGAGGCTGAGATCTAAGGTTTGTGATTCAAGGTCAGGTGATACAGTTTAGTCCATGACACTCTTATTTCCAAGTAACCTCCAGAAAGCTGAAAGTGTAACTATGGCTCAACTGGTAAGGAACAATGCTCAATCCCTGAGTTCAAGGTCCAGTACTAACACACACACACACACACACACACACACACACACACACACACACACACACACACAACCTTGATAAATGAGAGAATAAACTAATTAGTGGATGTGAAATTATGTTGTCAAGTACAGTCTATGTGAAATTATGTTGTCAAGTACAGTCTATGTGAAATTATTGCATAGGCCTAAGGGTGACTGTGGCTTCTGGCATAGGCTCAGGGTCTGTGTAATAGGTTACATAAGTGTCTTATACAGGTATCAGTATGTTTTTAACACAGACAAAAATAAGAAAATGCATGAGCTTTTTATACTTGTAGGCTTCCCAAAATTTACTAAGTAAAAAGGCAAAAACTAAATAAATAAGGGATATTTTATGAAATTAGATATTCAGAGAACATTTACTAGGAGAGGGCTATGGATGTTGAATGACTGAAGTTTGTTTGATATACTATTTCTCATATTGTGATAAGTGATTACGCATTTTTGTACTTTTTTAATTCATTGAAAGCAGACTTATATAGTGTACAATTTTGTATCTAATGAGGCAATAAAGATTCTTCCTTGTGAAGCACTCATTGTATATTTATTACCCTCAAAAATAGTGAATTATATGTTGCTATATACTGACAGTGATTGTGAATAGTTTCTGGTCTTTCAGTGGTAGTGCAGTGTTTAGAATTCCTTCTGTTTGTGGGAGATAGCCAAAATAATAGCCCAGTTCTTCTAAGAAAATGTATCCTTTTAAGCAACCACAAAAACTTGATTTTTAAAAGGATATTATTTCATTTGTCATTAATTTGCTGAAAACATTGAAATCAAGGGGAAATGTTCTGCTCTAATTTAGTCATCTAGATGATGAGAAATGTGTTTTACGTAAGAATTGAAAATAGAATTGCATTTAGGTTAAAAGCTTCTGTAGAGAATACAAGAATTAGAGGAAGAACCCCATTGGCACAGCCCCCAAGAAGGCAAATAACATGGCAGAAACTAAAAAATACCTGTCAGTCCTAACTCTCAATATTAGTGGACTTAACTAAGTGACATAGACTGTCTAGTTGGATCACAAGCAGGATCCTTCTCTCTGCTGCCTTCAAGAGACACACCTTGCCCATAAAAACAAACATTCTGAAAGTAAAAGGGTTGAATAAAATCTACCAAGCAAATGGCCCTCATAAACAGGTGTGAGTTGCAATCCTAATATCAGATAAAATAGACTTCAAATTAAAACTAGTGAGAAGAGATAAAGATCATTAAATACTAATTAGGGCATCTCTCCTTCAGGAGGATATTACAATTCTAAATATCTATTCACCAAACAATGGCGCACCCAAATTTATTCAAGAGACACTACTTTCCCTCGAATCTCACATAGATCCAAAGATATTAATTGTTGGGGACTTTAACACACCACCATCCTCACTGGATAGATCAAGCTGGCAGAAACTCAACAGAGAAACTGCAGGTTTAAACAACTGCATAGATAAACTAGACTTAATGAGATCTACCGAATATTGCATCCAAAAGTATCAGAATACACATTCTGCTCAGCAGCACATGGAACATTCTCCAAAATAGACCACATTTTAGGTCACAAAGCAATTTTGCACAATTTCAGAAACATTAAAATTATGCCTTGCATTCTCACTAGCCACAGGGAATAAAATTAGAATTCAACACCAAAAGCCACCAAAGAAATACCTGTAATACATGGAGGCTAAACAACACACTGTTGAACCACCAATGGGTCATGAAAGAGATTAGGAAGGACATTCAAATGTTCATGATATTTAACAAAAATGAACACACAAATTACCAGTTCCTCTGGGACACAGCAAAGCAGTACTCAGAGACAAGTTTATAGCTCTGAGTAGGTCCTATATCAACAAGTTGGAGAGATCTGAAACCAGTAATTTAATGGGACACCTGAAGCTCCTTGAAAAAGAGCAGCAAGCTAAACCCCAATCCGACAGATGGAAACAAATAATTAAAATTAAATGAAATAATTAAAATCAAAATGAAATGAATTAGAATCCATAGAAAGAATCAACAAAACAAAGAGTTGGTTTTTTGAAAAAATTGACAAAATTGACAGACCCTTACCAAATCTTATATAAAAAAGAGAGAACACACACAAATAAACAAACAGAGATGAGAACGGAAATATCACCACAGGGTGGGGGTGGGGGGAATAAGATGCAAAACATTATAAGGGAATACTTCTCAAGGCTTTGTCCTAATAAGTTTGAGAATCTGAAAGAAATGGATGATTTTCTAGCAAATATCGACATGCCAAAACTAAACCAAGATGATTTAAACCAATTTAACATACCCATGTCAAGCATAAAAATAGAAACATCAATAAGAGACCTCTCACCCAAGAAAAGCCCAGGGCCAGATGGATTTACAGCTGAATTCTACAAGGCCTTCAAAGCAGAACTCACACCAATACTCTTCCAAATCTTCAATGAAATTGAAAGTGAAAGTTCACTACCAAACTCTTTCTAAGAAGCCATTATAACCCTCATCCACAAACCAGGCAGGGATTCATCAAAGAAAGAGAACTATAGATGAACATTGATGCAAAACTTCTCAACAAAATTTTGGCCAATCGACTTCAACAACTCATCAAAAAAATTATCCACCACGATCAAATAGGATTCATTTCAGAGATGCACAGCTGGTTCAATATATGCATATGAATTAATATAATTAATCACATCAGCAAGAGCAAGGATAGAAACTACATGCTTATCTCAATAGATGCAGAAAAGGCATTGACAAGATCCAATACTCTTTTATGATGAAGGCTCTGGAAAAACTAGGGAGCCATAGAACATTCTTCAATATAATAAAGGCTGTGTATGACAAACCTACAGCCAGCGTTATACTTAATGGTGAAAAACTAAAGCCATTTCCTCTGAATTCAGGAATGAGACAAGGATGTCCATTCTCTCTGCTTCTCTTCAATTGAGTATTAGAATGCCTAGCTACAGCAATAAGACAAAATGCAAACATAAAGGGAATCCAAATAGGGAAAGATGAAGTAAAACTCTCCCTCTTTGCAGATGACATGATCTTGTATTTAAAGAATCCCATGGGCTCCACTCCCAAATTACTCAAGCTGATTCAAAACTTTGGCAAAGTAGCAGGGTATAAAATTAATGCTCAAAAATTAATGGCTTTTCTGTATGCCAACAATGAAAAGAATATGGCTGAAATCAGGAAAGCAACTCCTTTTGTAATAGCTCCACAAAAAATAAATGATCTAGGAGTTAACTAAAGTAGTGAAGGACCTCTATGATGAAAACTTTAAAAACCTGAAAAAGGAAATTAAGTGGAAAAGCCTCCCATGTTCCTGTATTGGGAGGATTAACACTGTGAAAATGGCAATACTGCCAAAGGCTATCTACAAATTCAATGCAATATCTATCAATATCCTAACCCCATTCTTCAAGGAAATAGAAGCCACCCCAAAATTCATATGGAACAATAAAAGACCCTGAATAGCAAAAACAATCCTTAGCAGAAAGAACAGTGCTGGAGGAATATCAATACCAAATTTCAAACTCTACTATAAAGCCAAAATAATCAAAACAGGATGGTACTGGCACAAGAACAGACCTGAGGACCAACGGAATAGAACTGAAGACCCAGAAATGAACCCACAGACCTATAGCCACCCAATCTTTAATAAGGGAGGTAAACAAATAGAATGGAAGAAAGACAGCCTCTTCAGTAATTTTCTTAATAGAGACCCACAAACACAACATATGAAAGAAAGTTTGGACAAATGGGATTGCACGAAATTGCAGAGCTTCTGCATGGCAAAGGACATAGCCAGCAAGATCAATAGAAAACCCACGAATTGGGAGAAGATCTTTACTAGCCATACAATGGACAAGGGTCTCACATCTAAAATATACTTAGAACTCAAAAAACTAAATCCCCATCAACAAATCCTCAAAGAAACAAATGCCTGATAAATAAAGGGGCTAAAATTGTAGAGAAACTTCTCTGAAGAGGAAGTAAGAATGGCCAATATACACAGGAAGAAATGCTCAGCCTCCCTAGCCATAAAAGAAATGCCAATCAAAACAACATTGAGATACCACCTCACCCCAGTTAGAATGGCTATACCCAAGAACTCTACTAACAACAGATGCTGGAGGGGATGTGGACAGAAGGGAAACTTACTGCATTGTTGGTGGGAGTGTAAACTTGTTCAACCACTTTGGAAAGCAGTATGGAGGTTCCTCAAAAGACTCCACATAGAGCTCCCGTATGACCCAGCAATCCCACTTTTGGGCATTTACCCAAATGTTCACAAACAAGACCACACTAAAGCTACCAGCACGACTATGTTTATTGGAGCATTATTTACCATAGCTAAAATATGGAACCAACCCAGATGCCCCTCAGTAGATGAATGGATCAAGAAAATGTGGTATATATACACAATGGAATTCTATGCCTCCATCAGAAAGAATGACATTGCCCATTTGTTAGGAAATGGAAAGACTTGGAAAAAATTATATTAAGTGAAGTAAGCCAAGCCCAAAGAAACATAGGTCCCATGGTTTTCGTTATTTGCAATAACTAGTATATGTCTGAGTCAAGCAGAAAAGGTCAGGTAAGTTCATGTTACGGAAATGAGCCCTAAGATATGTATTCAAATGTTTTTTCTTTCATGTGATTGTTTCTAATACATTTATAAGATTATTTCTTTGTTGCTTTGTATGTCCCTCCCCCACATATAACTCCTGCTTTCACTGTATTTGATGTCAGTATAATTTGTGGAGGGGAAGGGAAAAAACAAATCTTTTAACTTGGGATACAGGTGGACCCATTGCAACAATGAGATGTACAAGTCGTTATGTCGAAAAGAACCTTTACAACTTTGGTGGGGAGGGGGAGGATGGGAAGGTATGGGAAGGGGAAACAAAGGAGGAGGCTACAATGCTTGATACGAAATGATTGGGTGGGGGGTTGGTGGGAAGGCTGGGAAGGGATGTGAAGGGTAAACAAAGGAGGAGGCTGCAATGCTTGATAAGAAATGTAGGCATTATCCTGCCCATGTAATTGTAACCCCTCTGTACAGTATTTTCACAATAAAAAAAGAAATCTAGTAACAACAGATGCTGGAGGGGAAATGACCAAAAAAGGAACCCTACTGAATTGTTGATGGTAGTGTAGACTTATTCAACCACTTTGGAAAGCAGTATGGAGGTTCTACAAGACTCCACATAGAGCTCTCCTGTGACCCAGCAATCCCACTTTAGGACATTTACCCAAACAATCACAAACAAGGGTATACTAAAGCTACCAGCACAACTGTGTTTATTGCAGCATTATTTACCATAGCTAAGATATGGAACCAACCCAGATGCCCCTTAGTAGATGAATGGATAAAGAAAAATGTGATGTGATGTGATGTGATGTGATGTGATGTGTGTGTGTGTGTGTGTGTGTGTGTGTATGTGTGTGTGTGTGTGTGTGTGTGTGTGTGTGTGTGTATGTATTGTAATGGAATTCTATGCTTTCTTCAGAAAGAATGACATCACCCCATTAGTTGGGAAATGGAAAGACTTGGAAATATTAAGTGAATTAAGAAAAGCTCAAAGAAAGCCCTTATTTACAATATCTAGTATATGTCTAGGACAAGCAGAAAAGGTCAGAGGCTATGTACATATGACCATATAATATGATGTTAAGTGAAATGAACACCAAGATAGGGACACAACTTGTTTTTTCTTTCTTGCTATTGTTTTTAATGCATCTAAAATGTACTATGTGATTTTTCTGGTTTAATTTGTATGTTCTTTCCCCCGTTATAACCCGTTTTCTCTGTATTTGATGTGGGTGTCCTGCATCTTATATATACATTTTTCTAATTTGGGGAGGGGAAGGGAAATAACAAAATGCTGAAACAAGGATACAGGTTGACTAATTGTAACAATGAGATGTACAAGACAGTATGTTGAAAGCAAACTTTACAACTTTGAGGGGGGGGGAGTTGAGGAGGTGGGGAGGGAAGGGATGGTAGGGGAAATACAAAGGAGGAGGAAGCAATGTACTCATTACCTTACTCATGTAATTGTAACCATCTGTACACTAATTTTACAAGAAAATATAAAACAGCTTCTGTAGAAAAATTTTAATGAAGAGGAAAGCTATAGAATAGGAGAAAGGGCTTGTTAACCATTTGCCTGTCAGAGTTAATCATCAAAATACATTAGGATGACAGAAAATCATGACAATAAAAAACAGGTATTGAAATTATATGCTAGCAAATGAGCTGAAATAGAGGAGTAAGTCAGCATGGAGTTGAATATCCCAGACCTTCCCTGGGGCTCTGGGCACCTCTGACACAGGAAAGACTGGTGGGGCAGGGCTTGGCTATTGTTCAGAACTCTGCCCCGAACCTCACTTCCCTTACCCCCCTGCTCACTCCTCACCAACATGAGCACAAATTCAAAGGCCCCAACTTTCTCCACATATACTTTCAGTGGTGTCAAAATTGTGAACAAAACTATAATCAGTGTACATGCATCATATAGGACCAAGATGAAAGGATAAAAATGGATAGTTTGAACTTTGAAGAACCTGCTTTCAAAACAGAGCATTTAATTTTTTCTGAAGTTTACTTTTATGAATTTATTTTAAAATTATTTTATTATCTTTATTTTTTAACTTTCATTATAAAGGGATTTTTTTACTGTCAGTATAAAGGGATTTCAATTCAATATGTTAATTTTAAGTAAGACCTAGTAATTAAGAAGATAAACATTTATACATAGAGGAGAAAATTATGAATTGCTTATACTTTTCCATTTTCCTAATGAAAAATATGAGGCTTTTAAAAACATACATTCAGGATCAGAGTCAGATCTTGGGCTCTATTATTCCAAGATTCAGCTCTCTGCCTCTCAAACACTGTCACTCTTCATTGTAAAGTGGAAGACATGGCTGTGTGTGTCCTGAGATCTATCTCACTTCCCAGAACTGCAGGTAGGTGAGAGTGACCTCAGCATCTCTCAGACCTGCCTTGGCCCTGAGGCTCTACATAGTTAGAGGGCATCTTCCAGTCTTGAGCAGTCCTTGCTCATGCTCACCAAGTACCCAGGACTTCACTTTCCTAATTAGCTTGAGCATAAACAGAGAATAGTTGGTACTTAGGAATCCTTGCCCTTCACAACAAGTGAGGACTTAGAAAGCCACTGCATTGAAGATGAGCTTGAGATCAGCTGGCAGGAGGGCCAGATCTGAACCTGACATTTCATTTTACCACTCCAAATTCTAGCCCTTGAAAAAGTGTCAGGTATTCCCAAGAAATCATCAATGGGAGAGGATTCCACTTTCCTGATCTCATAGACGATCCCCCATAGACATAACACAGCTCTCCCAGTGCTGGGACCTCTAGGTAGCAGCTCTGTTGAGGTTAGAGTCAGGCTGCAGGTGCACACTGAACACTGTGCATCTGTGGCACAGAAGTAAGCAGCAATGTCTTCAGTCTGGGAAGTCAAGATGGACAGGGAACTGCTTCTGGCAGAGGTGTCCAGGGTGATTCTTAGCTGTCCACTGCTTCTTTCTCTCTCATTTGACCTTATTAAAATTAGCATGGTAGGTCCTCTGCCAGAATCCTGTCTGTACCACTGCAGGGTGATTATGTCAGATTTGTAACTGCAGTTCATGGTGGCATTTTCACCCTGTTGGATACTCAAGGTCTGAGTTTTCTCTTCTTGTTGGCTGTTCACCCCTAGAAAGAAACACAAGCCAGAGACCAGGGAGTCAGTTAATTGTTCCCAGAGTACATTCTAAATTCAACAAGAAGATTCAACTCTAAGCCATGTGGCCTCTGAAATTCAATGTCCCTGTTCCCATACTAGCAGTCACAACTTACTGGCCACATGAAGCCACAGAGTTATCAAGAACACTTCAAGTAATTTTTTCATCATTCTTGCTTTTGAGGATCACAGGAGATGCAGCTGTGGACCCTAAAATGGAGTCTGGCTCCTCAGGCACAAGTGTAGGTTCCTCTTGTTCCTGAGAAGGTATCTAGTTCTTCTGCTTCACAGAGTACTAGGGTTTTTTTTGCCATCCAGTCAGAGTCAAGCTTCTTTATTTGGTGTTATTTTATATTCAACTCTCTCTCTCTCTCTCTCTCTCACGCTCTCTCTCTCTCTCCCCTCCCCCCCCTCTCTCTCTGATGCTTGAAACCCAAGAGCTTCTGAGGAGATGGAGGCCCTGCCCTGTGGTAGTGGCCACAGCAGTCCGCTAGGAGAATGTGATCTGAAAAGAGGAAGAATGCAGAGCTGATACAGAAGTTTGCATTTCCTGCCATTATGAACTCTGATTCCAGATCAGAGTAAGAATGTATGCAGTTTAAGTCAGGCTAGAGATCAATGAAGGAACAGTGCTGGAGACAGAACAGCTTTGAGAAATACTGTTAGGATCTGTACAATAACTCTAATCTTTAAGAAAATATCTGTTGTCAAAGGCATTGGCTTGCACGACTCCATCTGAGGACTTAGGTCCTGTGAGGGTGCATATGCTGGCATGCACAACCCCTGGGGAAGGAGAAAACTCCTTCCAAGTCTGGGCAAAAGTCCAGACATCCAGGGGCTGGGAAGGTGGCTCAGTGGTAGAGTGCTTGCCTTGCATGCATGAGGCCCTGGGTTCGATTCCTCAGCACCACATAAGCAAAAAGAAAAAAGCCTAAGCCTCGGGTGAAGGCATGCAGAATGTGCTCTTCATGCTCCTCTGAGTAATCTCATAAACAATGCCTCCATATTCCCTTTGTGTGCCTAAAGAAACCCACCTGCACTTTGCTTACTCTTTATAACCGTTGATTCCATAGAACTGCTTCACATTTGTTGAGGCTTAACTCTTCCTGCTCACTGACCAAAGTTTAACTTTCATTGTCTGCATTACTGTAAAACTGTTTATGATGAACTTTCTGCCCCTCTGACTGAAGATTGACTTTCTATGCCTATATGCTGTATATAATCATGTGATATTTCCAATAAACTTTATCTCTACCCGCAGGGTGTGGTCCACTTTCTGCCTACCAGACACCATGTTCCCAGGTCTCACTGTGTGAACAGTGACAATCTGTGATCTCCTTCTGTGAAAATAAAAAAGTTTTTTTTTTTTTGCCTAATGCTAAAATTATGTGTAACTCAGAGTTTCTATGGATGGGCAAGAGACATGGACTCTAGTTGGATTAAGTAGAAAAGAACTGGGTTTGTCTCAGAATCCCCAACAGGGTCAGGCAATTGGATGCAAATAATATGCAGACAGAATAGGACAGAAAGTGCAAAGCTCTGCACATAGAGCAGTGTTTGGCAGGTGAGGGTTAGGAGCTGCCCTTCTTCTCTTTGGGTGGGGATAGAAATTTTGCCCTTGTGTTTCTGGTACTAATAGGATGGCTAGGGAATGGCTGAGTTTTGAAGAGTCTGGCCCGGAAGCTGATTTTCAAGATTTGGGATGACCAGCTGCTGGAAGTTACAGTTCAAAGCAGTGTTTCTAGAGCCAACTACTATTTGCTTTGATGATAAAAGAAGAATAAAAAAGGATTAATTTTCTAGGGCCATTTTAAAACAAATGAATATAACCAAAATCACTTTATGAGGGGTCACACCAGCTTAAATTCCCCACATATGGAAAAAACGAGGGTACTTCTCATTCCTGATTGTAGACCAGCTCTTCAACTCCAGACACTCAGTCATCACATTTTTCCAAGGTAGTAGAATGCCTTGAAAAGTGTCTAACCATCTTTCTACCTTTCCCCACTCTACATGAAGTATGGCCTCTGTTGCCAGACAACCTGGAGACCTTCAGTCTTTCCTGACTAGCCCAAGGGGGCTTGATCAACTACCTGAGGACTTTATATCCCCATCCTATAGCACAATTAATCCCTCCTAGGCTCCCTCAATGGTTATTAGAAAATCATATTCAATTCTGGTCATTGTAGGTGGAAGAAAAATGGTCCTTCTGATCATCCCTGTCTGTTGGAAGGGTACCTCTGAACTTGTCCTATTTTAATCTTGGGTTGTTATTTTTTCTTGTATAACAGTTGAAGGCCAATCACACCCTTGGCGATTTTTGAGATTATTAATCAAGAGGTTAAAGTAGCTGTGACAGAGTTCACTTCTGCTATGGTAGAGTGAGTTTGAAGAGAACTCTGGTTTTTACTGGGGAAAGCCATGGCTAGTGCCCAAAGTTCCTCAAACTGCTTTGGACAATAAATTTTCTGCTGCTGATATCTGAAAAAAAAGAAGGAAAGAAAACGTCATGACTATTTGTGTACAGAGGTGCATAATAAGATGTGTGCCCAAGGGATGTAGCGTACCAGTTATCAGTTTAGTGACTCTCAGCTGCAAATCCACCCTGTACACATTTCTCCTTGGCCTCCTGGCATGCTACGAAGTTTTATCAGTAGGCAAGGCTGGAAGGACACTTTCAGGAGGATGAGGTTTTCCTGTATGGTGCTGGGTCCCTGCAATTCTTGGTGAGCTTGGCACACCTGGAGACATGGCAGACATGTGCATTGTCAGCCACACAAGTGGTTACTTGGACTTATAAGCAGCTTTGCTTTGCCAAGAGATTAGTAAAGCACAACTTGAGATGTGACGAATGGGGAAATACAAGGTGTCCCAAAATAGGTGGCACAAGGCACAATCCTGTAGCTCAGGCTTTTTCTTTGCTTTTCTCTCTTTCCCCTCCCCCTTCTCCTCTCTCACCTTCTTTCCTAGCTACTATGATGTAAGCAACTCTGTTCTGTGAAACTCTCCCTCGCATGATGGACTGAAAACTATAACACTGTGTGCAAAAATAAATTATCCCCTCTTTAAATTGTTTTCTTAGGTATTTTGATCATAGTGACACAAAAGTAGTAAAGACAGTAGCTGATTCCCTGTTGTAATGATCAATGTTCATTGTAAAGTTGCCTTCTTCAAATCACTTCATTTCTTCCTCAGGATGGCCCTTGACTGCAGTAGGAATCTGTGAAGTGCCTGAGAGCAAAGGACTTTGTTGCAGAGGTCAACATTCACAGTGGAGTCTACGGAGCTTGGGAGAAACTGCTGGGATGTAAGGAACACAGGTGGGTGGCTGGAGGGACAAAGCAGGTAGAAAGGTGGTTGGCCCTTCTTAACTCTGCCTGGTCACCTAGAAAATAATGATTATTCTGCTCTGCTATATAGTTATTATTGCAAAAGTGCTTTTCTGGGTACTTCTAAAACTATAATTATTTAAAAAATTAAGTTAACAAGAGATGCTAATGAGAATCTTTGTGGACAAATAGTTGAGCTCAATCTGAAGCTAACGGACCACTGATGACATTCATTTTAAGAGGTAATTCAGTTTAGCTCCCTGGAAATGCAAGCCCCACAGTGGCCACAGACAGCTGACAGGAAGTAGTTTGTGTAAGTCTGAGGGTTTGTGCTCTGCTTCCTTTGCCAGAGCAGCTACTGTGGGCTCAGGGCACAGTAGTACATGGCTGAGTCATCCTCCTGAGTCATGGCCTTCTGCAGGTGGAAGGACTTCTCACTCTTATTTAGAGTGGCCGTGAAACCTTTGGCACTGCCTCCAGAGATGTGTTTCAGGAGCAGCTCGAGGCCTTGTCCTGGATGTTGGATGTACCAGAAGAGCTCAGGACTCCCAGAATAGGAATAGTTGCACTTCACCTGCACAGGGGCTCCTTCGAAGACAGAGATGTGGTCCTCAGGCTGAGCCACTGCCTGGGCTGTAATTCCTCCTGAAACATCAGTTCTAGATCAGAGAAACTGCAGAAGACAAAATGATTCCATGTCAAAACCCACAGAAAGGCTTGAATGAGAAGCGACTACTCACTCAATGCCAGCATGATCAGGAGTGCTGCGATGAGGGTAGGCTTCATGTCCCAGATGTGAGGTGACGAAGAATTTTCTGGAACCTGTTCAGCTACAGAGAATCTGACAGAGCAGAGTCATCTCTGAGTTTAACTCTTCCTTCCATCCGTACAGCAAGATGCTCTTCCTCGAAAGGTTTGCTGGCTGCTTGGCTTCTAGCTTAGTTCAAGTTACACAGCAACGCTCTCTAGAGGCCAAAATTGACACTGCAGAGAAGGTCGGGTTGCAGGTCAATCAGCATCGGGACAGAAAGAGCAATGTATGCTACAGGAAAAAAAAAATTGTCATTAGGGAAGTCTACAAATAGACTTTAATGGACTAGAACAAAAGTCTAAGAGCACCAAAGGCTGTGTGTGCAAAATTAGCTAAAAATGTATCAACTATGGAACATTTGCTAAAGTGTGCTATCTTGAATGAAAAATCACTAGAAAATTAATCAATAAATTTGGATATATCTTTCTTTTTTGGTCGTGGGTCTTGAACTCTGGGCCTGTGTGCTGTCCCTGAGATCTTCAGCTCGAAGCTAGCGTTCTACTTCTTGAGCTACAGTGCCACTTCCAGTTTTCTGGTGGTTAACTGGAGATAAGAGTCACATGAATTTGCCTGGGCTGGCTTTGAACTGCAATCCTCAGATTCCAGCATCCTGAGTAGCTAGGATTATAGGCATGCTAAGCGCCTGGCTGGGTATATTCTTAATAACCATTACAAAGTAAATTTTTAGCGGATATAATAGTTATATTTTAGATGGAAAAAAATTGAGAGACCCAATTTATTAACGTATAGTATTAGAGTAGATTTCTATGCATGATAGAAAGAATACAGGAAAAGGTTAATAGACCATACTTCATAGAAATTTAAGCTTTTGTGCACATTTATTAATGAAGTCTTTATATATATTATTGTAAAAATAGAGTACAGAGGGTTTATAGCTACACGAGTAAGGTAATGAGTACATTTCCTATCAAGCATTGTTACCTCTTCCTTTGTGTTTCCCCTACCATCCCATCCGTCCCCAACTACAGGTGTTTAACCAATTTTGCCAGCACCATTTACTGAAGAGGCTGTCTTGCTTCCATTCTATTTGTTTAGCTCCCTTATCGAAGATTATGTGGCTATAGATCTGTGGGTTCATTTCTGGATCTTCAGTTCTATTCCATTGTTCCTCAGGTCTGTTCTTGTGCCAGTACCATGCTGTTTTGATTATTTTGGCTTTGTAGTAGAGTTTGAAATTTGGTATTGATATTCCTCCAGCACTGTTCTTTCTGCTAAGGACTCTTTTTGCTATTCAGGGTCTTTTATTTTTCCATATAAATTTTTGGATTGCTTCTTCTATTTGCTTGAAGAATGGGGTTGAGATATTGACAGGTATTGCATTGAATTTGTAGATAGCCTTTGGCAGTATTGCCATTTTCATGGTATTAATCCTCCCAATACAGGATCATGGGAGGCATTTCTACTTCCTTAGTTCTGCTTTAATTTCCCCTTTCAAGTTTTTAAAGTTTTCATCACAGGGGTCCTTCACTTTTTTAGTTAACTCCTAGGTCTTTTATTTTTTGTGGGGCTCTGACAAAAGGAGTTGCTTTCCTGATTTCAGCCACACTCTTCTCATTGTTGGCATGCAGAAAAGCCATTAATTTTTGAGGGCTAATTTTATACCCTGCTACTTTGCCAAAGTTTTAGATGAGCTCTTGTAATTTGGGAGTGGTGTCCACAGGTTGCTTTAACTACAAGATCATGTCATCTGCCAAGAGGGAGAGTTTTACTTCATCTTTCCCTGTTTGGATCCCCTTTATGTTTGCATTTTGTCATATTGCTGTAGGTAGGCATTCTAATACTCAATTGAAGAGAAGTGGAGAGAGTGGACTTCCTTGTCTCATTCCTGAGTTTAGAGGAAATGGCTTTAGCTTTTTGCCATTAAGTATAATGCTGGCTGTAGGTTTGTCATATACATCCTTTATTATATTGAGGAATGTGCTATGGATTCCTGGTTTTTCCAGAGCTTTCTTCATAAAGAGGTGTTGGATCTTGTCGAAATGTTTTTTCTGTATATATTGAGATAATCGTGTGGTTCTTACCCTTGCTCTTGTTGATGTGATGAGTTATATTAATTGATTTGTGTATATTGAACCAGCTTTGCATCCCTGAAATGAATCCTGTTTGATCGTGGGTTATGGTTTCTGTTTTTTTGATGAGTTGTTGAAATTTTGTTGAGAAGTTTTGCATGGATGTGCATCAAAGAAATGGGTCTCTTTCTTTGATGAGTCCCTTCCTGGTTTTGGGATGAGGGTTATAATGGCTTCATAGAAAGAGTTTGGTAGTGAACTTTACTTTCAATTTCATTGAGGATTTGGAGGAGTATTGGTGTGAGTTCTGCTTTGAAGGCCTTGCAGAATTCAGCTGTAAATCCATCCAGGCTTTTTTTTTTTGGGTGGGAGGTCTCATTGATGTTTCTAGTTTGATGCTTGATATGGGTCTGTTAAGTTGGTTTAAACAATCTTCGGTTAGTTTGAGCATGTCATTATTTGCTAAAATTCGACTATTTCTTCCAGATTGTCAAACTTATTAGCATAAAACTTTGAGAAGTATTCCTTTATCATGTCTGAACCTTGTTTTTTCTGTGATGATAGTTCCATTCTCATCTCTGAGTTTATTTGGGTGTATTCTCTTCTTTTTTTGATAACATTTGCTAAAGGTCTGTCAATTTTGTTATTTTTTTTGAGGAACCAACTCTGTTGATTTTTTCTACATTTTTTGTATTCTAATTCATTTAATTCTGATTTAAATTTAATTGTTTCCTTCTACTGGATTGGGGTTTGGCTTGTTGCTTTTATTTCAAGAAGCTTCAGGTGCCTTGTTAAATGGTTGGTTTCAGATCTCTCCAATTTGTTGATACAGGAACTCAGAGCTATAAACTTGCCTCTGAGTACTGCCATTGCTGTGTCCCAGAGGAGCTGGTAATTTGTGTGTTCATTTTTGTTAAATATCATGAACATTTGAATTTTCTTTCTAATCTCTTCTATGACCCACTGGTGGTTCAAGAGTGTGTTGTTTAGCCTCCATGTGTTATAAATTTTTCTTTGGTGGCTTTTGGTGTTGAATTCTAATTTTATTCCTTTGTAGTCTGAGAGAATGCAGGGCATAATTTCAATGTTTCTGAACTTAGACAAATTTGCTTTGTGACCTAAAATGCCGTCTATTTTGGAGAATGTTCCATGTGCTGCTGAGAAGAATGTGTATTCTGATGCTGCTGGGTGAAATATTCAGTAGATGTCTGTTAAGTCTTGCTGATCTCTGTGGTTGTTTAGATCTGAGTTTTCTCTGTTGAGTTTTTGCCGGGTTGACCTATTCAGTGGGGATAGTGGTATGTTAAAATCCCCCAAAATTAATGTCTTTGAATGTATGTGAGATTTTTATGGAAAGTAGTGTTTGTAAACTAGTCATTATTTGGTGAATAGATATTTAGAATTGCTGCATCCTCCTCAGGGAGAAATGCCTTAACATTCTTTATCTCTTCTTCTCATTAATTCTAATTTGAAGACTATTTTATCTATTAAGATTGCAAGTCCCGCCTGTTTATGGGTGCCATGTGCTTGGTAGATTTTATTGCAGCCTTTCACTTTCAGAATATGTTTGTTTTTATGGGCAAGGTGTGTTTCTTGAAGGCAGCAGATAGAAGGGTCTTGCTTTTTGATCCAAGTAGACAATCTATGCCACTTAATTGGAGAGTTAATGGAGTCTTAAAGCAATATCATGTCCATAAAATTTCCACTTGCCATCACTGGTTTTGACCTTCTCATACAGAATATGCTCCTCAGAATTTTGGTTACAAGTTAAAAAGCAATGGGCCATAAACAAAGAAGCATTCATTCCATAAAGAGTGAAGATTGGAAAAGTCTCTGATCTTCATTTGCCAAAGGGCACCTTTGGCTACAGCCAGACTTAACTCTGTTACTCTGCTTTGGAGTTAGACATATGTTTGGTGTGAAGAAGCTGGGAGCCTAGAATGAAACACAGGAAAATACAACTCATCGAGTGCTTGTGCTGAAGAGATCACTTGACCTCTAGAAAGGAAACTAATTCTCTTAGGAACATGTCTTCTCTTGCCTCCACCAAGTTGAGACAAAAATAACAAATAGGTTGAGTCCCTCTGTCCTTAAAGAGTATAAAGCTTCCAGGGAACAAAGATTGGCTTCAAGTTTTTGGCTGGGATCTCTCAGAACCACTGGCTGCAGTATTCTGCTGATTTTGCAGTTGCTGACCACAGACAGAACATCTAGCCACCCACCCACCCCCTCTTCCCTCCAGGGATGCCTATGTGATCAGACACCTCAGGAGGGAAGGGAAGAAAGGGAAAAGATCATTCAGATATACATTGGAGACAACCATTAGTATCAGAAAGCCAACTTCTTTAGTCACAAAATCAGAACATGCAAATTTCAAAACAACAATTTATTTACAAGAAAGATTTTACTGAGGAAGAATATCACTGGCTACTTTATAGAATTCTAAGCACAATTAAATGAAATTAGGAGATTACTGTAAACCTGTAACTTGACCATCATGAACATGAAAATATGTTTAGTGAGACTGGTTTTTAGAGAATAGAACAGGTATAGGTTGGCAACTTCATTTCCATCTCCCTCCTTTTGTACCAGATAAACCCATAGCTGGGATTATTCTGAAATCTCCACAATGAATTAGGAAATGATGAATAAAGAAGGACAGCCTTTCTGTCTGCAGTCCTTTTGATGCTATTTTTAAGGAGCAGGTTTTGTTATCCTATCATGTGAGTCAAATCACAAACAATTTGGAATTACATACCCACTATAATATGGATGCATAATATATAATTGTACATGTGAAATTTATTGTTATTATAAAGGTGATGTAAAGAGGGCTTACAGTTACATAACTCAGGTAAAGAGTACATTTCTTTTTGGAAAATATCCCCTCTCTTGCTCTCCCACTTTCTCTTTGCATCCCCACCCACAAATTATATAGTTTATTTTCAACATATAGTTGAAACTAACAAATGCAGTTTTTCTTCATTTGTTCATCATTCCCCTCCTAAAGACATGAATGAATGAGTACACAAGATAAAATGAAAAACAAAAATAGCAAAAAAGCAAAAAACCCTTTATTTCCATTTCCTAGGTTAATTTTGATAAATATTATTTTGTATGATCTGATGCACATAGGCATTGTACATATAGAATTTTGTAAACTTGTCAGATGAAATTATACTATTTCCTGGTCTTGAATATGATAATAGGAAAGTAAAGCTTGATGCTGTGAATTTTTGTAGCAAAGATCTACTTTCTCACTACTTTGCTATTGTGTTTTGAAAGACTAAAAATGTGGTGTGACATCATGTCATGCATGAACTAGTGTGACTTAAAGTGAAATCCCAAAGAAATTTTCCCTACCTCCTCCTGTATTTTGGCTGATATCTTATCTTAGATTAATTGTAAGGATTTTATGAGGAAATCACTGGAATAATATACTTTTAAAAAGGTTAAAACTTAATGAATTTTAGATTTTTCATATATTATTAAGAACTATACTCAAACCAGGTTCTGGTAGCTTACACCTGCAATCCTAGCTACTCAGAAAGCTGATAACAGAACATCAGGATTTGAAGCCATCTTGGGATGACAAATCCAAGATACTCTTGCTTTCATAACTATCAATAAATCCAGAATTGAAAGTATAGCTCAAATAGTAACGCAAACAGCTTGGTACTGGCACAAGAGGAGAGCTGAGGACCAATGGAATAGAACTGAAGACCCAGAAATGAACCCACAGATCTATAGCCACCTAATCTTCGATAAGGGAGCTAAACAAATAGAATGGAAGGAAGACAGCCTCTTCAGTAAATGGTGCTGGCAAAATTGGTTAAACACCTGTAGAAAACTAAAGCTAAATCCTCATATATCACTCTGTACCAGAATCAACTCCAAATGGACCAAAGACTTCAAAGTCAAAGCAGACACCCTGAAAATATTATAGGAAGGAATAAGAGAAACTCTAGGGCTCCTTGGCACAGGCCGAAATTTTCTTAATAGAGACCCAGAAATACAACAAATCAAAAAAAGGTTGGACAAATGGGATTGGATGAAACCACAGAGATTTTGCATGGCAAAGGACATAGCTAGCAAGATCAATAGAAAGCCCACGGACTGGGAGAAGATCTTCACTAGCCATACAATGGACAAGGGTCTCATATCTAAAATATACTTAGAACTCAGAAAACTACATCCCCCAACAACAAATCTTCCAAGAAACAACTGCCAAAAAATAAGTGGGCTAAAGACTTAAAGAGAAACTTCTCTGAAGAGGAATTAAGAATGGCCAATACACACATGAAGAAATGCTCTACTTCTCTAGCCGTAAAAGAAATGCAAATCAAAACAACATTGAGATTCTACCTCACCCCAGTCAGAATGGCTAAAATCAAGAAATCTAATAACAACAGATGCTGGAGGGGAAGTGACCAAAAAGGAAGTCTACTGAATTGTTGGTGGGAATGTAAACTTGTTCAACCACTCTGGAAATCAGTGTGGAGGTTCCACAAAAGACTCCACAGAGCTCCCCTATGACCCAGCAATCCCACTTTTGGGCACTTACCCAAACAATCACAAACAAGGTTATACTAAAACTACCAGAACCACTGTGTTTATTGCAGCATTATTTACCATAACTAAGATATAGAACCAACCCAACCCAGATGCCCCTCAGTAGATGAATGGATAAAGAAAATTATACACACACACACACACACACACACACACACACACACACACACACACACACATATACATACATACAGTGGAATTGTATGCTTCCATCAGAAAGAATGACACTGCCCATTTATTAGGAAATGGAAAGACTTGGAAAAAACTATAAATGAATTAAGCCAAGCACAAAGAAACATAGTTCCCATGGTTTCCCTTGTTTCTAATAAGTAGTATGTCTAGGACAAACAGAAAAGGTCAAAAGCTATATGCATAGGACCATATAAAATGATGTTAAGCTAAATAAAAACTGAGACAGGGACACAAGAGTTTTTTTCTTTCTTGCTATAATTTTTAACATACTTATAATGTACTATGTGATTTTTTTGTTTCTTTGGTATGTTCCTCCCCCATGGTATAACCCCTGTTTTCACTGTATTTGATTCCGGTACCCTGCATCTTGTATATATACTTTTCTAATTTGGGGAGGAAAAAACAAAATGATTAAATAGGGATACACAATGTCCCATTGTAGCAATGAGATGAACAAGACACTCTGTTGAAAATGAACTTTACCTTTTCAGTTAGGAGGAGGGGACACGAGTAGTTAGGGAGGTGGGAATAAGTGGATGGTAGGGTTAAAACAAAGGAGGAGGCAAAAATGCTGGATAGGAAATATACTCATTACTTTATTCATGTAACTGTAACCCCTGTACTCTTAAAAAAAAGTGTGGCTCAAATGGTAGAGCACCAGCCTTGACGGAAAAATCTAAGAATGTGAAACCTGGCAAGAAAGGAAAAAGTAAAACAAACCTATACTGAATTATTCATTGGATTTATGTATTGTGTTCGTCTTCTGTTCCATCAAATTACTTCTGATAAAGGTAAGAGCCAAGATTAGAAGACTAGATGTTTTGTATCATTTAATTTAACATGTCAGAATAATATAGTGGGATATTCTGCATGTGATAGCTGTGATATAAAACTGGATTAGACAACAACATTAATATTAATCAATATTGATCTGACTACATTAATATACTTCAATAATAAGATAGAGGAAGGACACTTTCTGGGACAATGTTTATGTTTGCAGCATTATTTATGTGACAGTTGTTTGGGTATTATATTTAAATTTCTCAAAAAAATTTAGACATTATATGGACCCTTTTGGGTATTCCTTAATGAAAAATTTTAAATTGGAATGTTAAGAGAAAACTGGAAAATATTTCAACCATATCAATAATTTAAAAATTAATATTTTAAAATTCTTTTAGAGGAAAAATATTCACTCAAACCCTCCCTGCTATTGCTCTTCACACCCATAGCATCCAGATCCCAGCATATTTGCTGTGCGCTGGGTTCTGCTGCAGCTCAGGCCTTACTGGGGCCCCTGTAGGTTTGGATACAGGCTGCAGGTGTTGGGGGAGCATTGTGTACGCATTGCACAGAGATAGGTTGCTGGGTCACTGAGCTGGGAGTTTCTGATGTGCAGGGAAAGATAGAGGCTGGCTTTGTTGAGGTGCACTGTGAATTTTCCTTCATCTTTATCACCGTTGGAGTATGTAGATGCCAGAAGCTCAGGGCCTTTCCCAGAATACTGTCTGTACCACATGAAGTACTGATAAGCACTATTCTTATAAGTGCAGTTGAGAGAGGCAGTGGCTCCCTCTGGAACACTGAGGGACTCAGGATGCTGCTTCACCTCCTTCTGTTGGCTGTTTACCCCTGTGCAGAAAGACAAATGTCATATAAAGGAACAATACAATACAAAGTGGATGCTTTCTCTTATGGAATGTAAATTACTTTTTTCCATGGGCCTTCCACCCTCCCTTGCCTAAAAACTGAGAACCTTCTGGTTTTTCCTCACATACCTGACACAGACACACAGACAACAACTCCCATCACTGAACTTCATGTTCCCATAGAAATGCCAACTCACAGCTCAAGTGATGCCACAGGATAACTAATAAGACACTCAACGATCTCATCCTTTCCCACTGAGGGCAAAGATTACAAACTGCACAAGAAAGTAAATCTCAGTATTGTGCTTTAGAAAACATAACAGGAACTGTCCTTCAAGTAGAAGAATAGGATCTTTTCTCCACGCCTCCTGCACCAACCAACTCCTCCCTTCCTTTCTCACTTAAGAGAACTTGAAAGGTTTCTTTTTGGTCCCTGAATGCACACTGCCCTCTTGTGGTTGCTACTGATCAAATACTTAAAATGCAAATCAAATATTCAAACAAATATTCAAAATGCAAACCCTTCTTACATGAAATGTTAAAACGTAAAAATAGATATCTAGTTAGAGATTTTGGCAAAATTTGCTCAGAGTAAATATGGGGTCGTGATGTTCACGTGTGCATTTTATATTACTTTTTTTTGGAGTAAAGCAGTGATTCTCAAAACCCTATTTCATGCACTAAAAATATTATATTTTTACTGTGGAAATCTGGGTGTTGTTTTCAGGACCAAGCAGCATTTCACATAGTAGAGATCTTCTTCATATCAATCTAGGCACCTTCAAGTCATTCCTCATCTTTAATTTTCAATGAAATTTCCTGAAATTTAAAAGAAAACTTTATAACACAGAATGGTTCAACATCTACTTAATGGAATGTTTCTTGTTCACAGCCTGGGAAATATTTATTTTCATTTTACAGTGTATATTAGTTTTGCAAAATAATGGGTTTATTGTGATTTTCATACATGATATAATGTACTTTGGTTATTATCACTCCAACATTCCTTCCTCCTTCCCCTTTACCTCCTTCTTCCTAATAGTTCAGCTTCTATTTAGAATGCCTTACGTTTCTCTAGTTTACACATATTAGAGAAAACATTTGTCTTTCTGAATCTGGATTATTTCATTCAATGTGATGATCTCTAGATCCACACATGATCCTTTCATCAATATGTTTCATTTTTGTCTTCAAATACTACATTTTCTTCATCTATTAGTTCTTTGCTGAGCTGATCCCACAGCTTAGCCATTGTGAACAGTGTCACATTATGCATGAGTTGTGCTAGTGTCTCTACTGTATGTTGACTTTGATTCCTTTAGGTATATACCTGAGAGTGTTAAAGCAGTATCTTCTGATATATCTATATATCTATATCTATATATAGATATAGATATATAGATATATATTCAAGAAGCTCCATTCAGAAAGCTTTGTAGTTATTTCAGTATGTATTTTCAGGAAATGCTATAGTGATTTTGATAGAAGCTGTATTAATTGTCATGCCTACTGGCAGCACATAAGAGTTCCAACAGAGCATTTGGAAATGAGCACACTTATATTGATTAAATAGAAATAATTAGCCCCATATCTAAACTTTAAATAAAAGGAGACATATCCATTATTTTGTTTAAATTTTCTAATCCTTTCATCTTTCTTGATTAAAGCCATAAAAATCTAGGAGTTGATGTCAACCTTAGAAAGTTATAAATCTTACTCTCTCTATTTTTTTCCCCCTTCCAAAGATGGGCTGATCAGAACCTCAGAACTTTTCTTTCCTCACTGAATGCTGCAAAGAAGTAGATTGGGGAGAAAGAAAATATTGAAATCATTTTCTCCAAAGATTGGTTGTACTTGATTAAATTACAGTTATTTCCTGGTAGCTTCAAAAACCAAAGAACAGAAAAAAAAGAGCATATTAAGAGCCTTGACAAAAGTTTGAAGATGAAGCATAAAGTCTTAAATACAGAACATGGGCTGAAGCACTGTCTTTGTAGGAAACACACAAAATAATGAATGAATTAATATATCTACTGTTTTGACAAACCCAAGAGCCATATAAGTGCTCAAAATGACCGAAGTCATTTATCATCAAATTGTCCTGCAGAACCTTTCTGCCTGATGATGTTAAAGTAGAAGCAACTCCTTTTGATGAATGGCTATGGAAACCACAGCTGTATCCCAATGATGTTAAGTATCAAGTGGTCTACATTATCCACAGTAATAAATTCATAGATGTATCTGATAAATAACAGAGTACTGAAGAGCAAGTTCTATTCAAAGGCAATTTATTTCAAAGTAAATGCTACTCTATATGGTACAATTCAATTCAATCCATTGGACTATGTAAATTGTTTTACTTAAATAAGAATATGTTTGTGTACATGTGGAAAATACATTTTTTCCTTTTCTGTTCACTTCTATACCTCATATGTTGGCATTTTAAATGATATAATAAAACAAATAAAGTCATAAATGTAAAATACCAGATTTTTAATTATCTATGTGACAATGATCTGTTTTTCCTACTTTTTATGACTCCAACTTAGTGCTCAGCTTCATTTGATGTCACCTATAACCTCATAGAATTTCTTGTAGGGAAGATCTCCAATGATTAATATCCTAAGCCTTGTTTAAGTCTTCAAATGTCTCAATTTCTCTTTTATTTGTGAAAAAATTAGTTCCAATGTATAGAATCACTGGCTGAGTGTTTTTTTTAATACATTTTTATTTTTGGTGGCAGTGATGGTTTTGTTTTTTGTTTTTTTGCTTTTCTTTTTAGCAGTTTAGATAATCATTCCACTATTCTGACTTCCATGATTTTTGATGATTAAATGATGGTTGGTAATAAAGAATCCTTTGTAGCTGGTGGGTCAGACCTGTAATCTTCATGTATTGCTCAGGATGATAAGATCTGAGGATCATGGTGTGAAGCCAGCCATGGCAGGAAAGTCCATGAGACTCTTATCTCCAATACACCATCAGAATACCAGAAGTGGTGCTGTGGCTCAAGTGAAAGAGCTCTAGCCTTGAGCAAAAGGAGACAGTGCCCAGAGACAGTGCCCAGAGCCAGAATTCAAGTCCCAGGATTGACAAAAAAAAAGAAAGAAGAAGAAAAAAGAATCCCTTGCATGTGGTTTCTCTCTCACTGCTTCCAAGATTTTACTTTGTTCCTGTCTTCAACAGTTTACAATATGACACAATCTAGATTTGTTTGGCTTTGTTTTCTTGGTACATATTGAGATTTATGGATGTGTATATTCATATGCTGTACCAAGTTTGGTCACTGTTTCTTTATTTCTTCTATTTTACCTCACCTTGCTTCCTCCCCTCTTCTAGAATTGCTACTGCATGTTTGACAGTGACACAAAGGTCTCAGGCTCTGTTCATTTCTCTTTCTCTCTTTTTCTCCCCAAACTGAGTAATGTCAATTCACTTACCCCACATTTGAAGATTCTTTCTCATGAGTGTTCAAACACGCTGTGGAACCACTCTAGTAAAATCATTTGAGATAAGCGACTTTATGTAGCCATTTCTCTGCCCTGGTGGAATTCTGGCTCATGTCCTTTGCATTTGTCCTCCAAGGAAATCCTGACAGGTATGAGCCAAACACTGTGCTTTGAGTTCAAGCCTACTCTTTACATGGGCAGCAGAAACCCATAGTGTGAATGTGTGCTACTATTATTTTTTTTTTTTTATATTGTAAACCTTTTTTTAATTGTGAAAATACCATACAGAGGAATTACAATTACATGGGAAAAATAGTGAGTACACTTCTTAACAAGCATTGTTGCCTCCTCCTTTGTTTCCTCTTCCCATCCCTTCCCCTCTCCACCACCCCTCTCGCTATCCCCGCCCCCCCCCCCCAAAGATGTAAAGTTCGTTTTTCGACATAACGACTTGTACATCTCATTGTTTTAATGGGTCCACCTGTAACCCTATTTAAACAGTTTGTTTTTCCCTTCCCCTCCACAAATTATATCAACATCAAATACAGGGAAAGCAGAGCTTATACCCTGGGGAGATACATGCAAAGCATCAAAGAAATCATCTCATAAATATGTTAGAAACAATCACAAGAGAGAAAAAGAAAACATTTGAATCCTTATCTTGGGGTTCATTTCGCCTAACATCAACTTGTCTGCCAGTTTCTGTTTGCTGCAGACATATACTAGTTATTGCAAATAAGGGAAACCATGGGACCTATATTTCTTTCGGCCTGGCTTACTTAACTTTATATAATTTTTTCCAAGTCTTTCCATTTCCTAACAAATGGGGCAATGTCATTCTTTCTGATGGAGGCATAGAATTCCATTGTGTATATATACCACAATTTTCTTGATCCATTCAACTACTGAGGCGCATCTGAGTTGGTTCCATATCTTAGCTATGGTAAATAATACTGCAAGAAACATAGATGTGCTGGTATATTTAGTTTGGTCCTGCTTGTGATCATTTGGTTAAATGCCCAAAAGCGGGATTGCTGGGTCATAAGGGAGCTCTACGTGGAGTCTTTTGAGGAACCTCCATACTACTTTCCAAAGTGGTTGAACAAGTTTACACTCCCACCAACAATGCAGTAAGGTTCCCTTCTGTCCACTTCCCCTCCAGCATCTGTTGTTATTAGAGTTCTTGATTATAGCCATTCTAACTCGGGAGAGGTGGTATCTCAATGTTATTTTGATTTACATTTCTTTTATGGCTAGAGAGGTTGAGCATTTCTTCATGTGTATATTGGCCATCCTTTCTTCTTCAGATAGGTTTCTCTGTAACTCTTTAGCCCACTTATTTATTGGGCAGTAGTTTCTTTGAGGATTTGTTGTAGGGGGATTTAATTTTTTGAGTTCCAGGTATATTTTAGATATGAGACGCTTGTGTGTTGTATGGCTAGTGAAGATCTTCCCCCAATCCGTTGGCTTTCTATTGATCTTGCTAGCTATCTCCTTTGCCATGCAGAAGCTCTGCAACTTGATGCAATCCCATTTGTCCAATCTTTCTTTGATTTGTTGTGTTTCTGGGTCTCTATTAAGAAAATTTCGGCCTGTGCCAAGGAGACCTAGGATTTCTCCTATTCCGTCCTGCAATGTTTTCAGAGTGTTTGCTTTGACTCCGAGGTCTTTGGTCCATTTGGCGTTGATGTAGCTTTAGTTTTCTACAGGTGATTAAACAATTTTGCCAGCACCATTTACTGAAGAGGCTTTCTTCCTTCCATCCTATTTTTTTTTT